TGATTTATGTCTTCTATAAATTGCGAATAACTTACATTAACACACATTTTATATTGTTGGATGCTTAAATATGTACATATATTTTTGATTTTAAGCACATAGTCCAAGTCCCAAGCTCCGTTAATACGATACGACAATAATAAAAGTTTTATGCGCAACCTGGTTTGTCCTACGCACAAGCGCAGAAGTATGGAACAACATATGCAGCGCAGCCACCATTTACTGCGGGAACTACTAGCTTGTTCCGTCTATGAGTATATTAAGGTGTATCAATTTATGGTTGAGACTTGAGAGTTAATTTTGTTGAAGTGTCAGTTCTTGAGTCACAATATTAATTGTTTTCGTTGTGCAACCTGTATATCTTAAATCGTGGTCTGTACTCTGATATCTATCTGTGTTATCACTGTTTTTATATATATATTATATAAATTTAAGGTTGGATATTTTAATAATATTGCACAATAATTTATTATGATAACAGAATCATAAAAAATCACGATTGAAGATATAAGTATATCTCACGGTTTAAGATATCTTAAACCGTGGTATATCTTAAATCGTGATAAAAAATATTATTCAATAATCAGCATGATAAAATTAATTTATCATGATATTATGATAATCAGTATTCAGTATCAGTATTTAACATTTTTATTTTACAATTTTACATTTGTAATTCAGAAATCAAAAACTGAATCTAAGTACGAACAAATTCAACAATAAATAACAACACGATCACACTGAATTAAATTTTCTTGTCAGAATCGCCAGTGAAGAATATGCTTAGGTAGCACTCCGTATTGAATAATAGTGGGGTAAATATTTATCTATATAAATTTAGCAAATATAGAGTATAAATTTCTGTACAATAATTTTAGTTTGTGTATAATGTTCGTGAATTTTCTATTATAGTAACCCAATTTTCAAGAAAAACCATGAATTTTTRTTTAAAACCACAGAACAGATAATAAAATGTTGTTCAAGGCATTTCATAAAATGCGACCTATGTGTGGTATGCATTGTCCTCTAAGCTCTGTATTTAGCAAACGTTTACATAATACTAGTTCAAAAAGTGCACAAAAAAGGAGAATACGTTCTACTGTATATTATCTTTCTTCATTAGGAGTATTAACGGTCGGTCTTAGTTATGCGGCTGTGCCACTATATAAAATGTTTTGTCAGGTGAGTRAGTTACATCCACATAACATGGATAAGTCACAATAATGTTGAATCCATTTAAAGGCATTCAGTTATGGTGGAACACTGAGCCATAACATAGAAGATTCAAAAGTAGAAACAATGAAACCCAATAGAACCCGGGAGATTAAAGTTCATTTCACTGCTGATACGTCGTCCAGCATGCAATGGAGTTTTAAACCTCTTCAGAATGAAATCAGAGTAATACATTTAAGATTAATAGAGCACTAATAATTCAGATAAATCAGCGTTTCCCAACCTTTTTCCCTCGCGGCACCCTAATTCCAACCCATATTTAGCCGCGGCACACTTGTCACTGACTAATATAATATGTATACATATTTTGTTTATACCAGACTTTCATCATATTAAATATTAATACCAAAGTAGTTGTATATCAGTATAATATTACTAGCAAACAGTTAGATGGTAAGATAGGAAAAAAAATTATTATAATTATTCTAAATATTTAATTTATTGAAATGTAAAAACAAGATACATTACAATCACAGCAGACAACAAACGACTAACTAACTAATATTTTAAATTATTTAATAAAAAATAGTGAAAAATATCCCCGATAAGAGTATCTTTAAAACTATTTTAACCAATTACCGAAATTTTACAGAAACGTTTATTATTAGTTGTGACATTTTGCGGCACACCAATATGGGCCTCGCGGCACACTGGTTGGGAAACCCTTAAATGAACTGTAACCAACATATTGATTCACATTTTATTTGGTTAGGTGCCAATATCACTACAATTTAAATATAAGTTAATTTGATTTTAATTTATATTGTATATAAAAGTGTTAAACTTGATTTGTTAAATTCAAAAATGCTGAAAAAAAATTTAATATTTATTATGTTTATATTAGGTGGCACCAGGTGAAACAGCATTAGCATTCTACACAGCTAAAAATCCATTAGATAAAGCAATTACGGGTATAAGTACATACAATGTTGTACCTTTTGAGGCAGGACAATATTTTAATAAAATACAATGTTTTTGTTTTGAAGAACAACAGTTAAATCCAAATGAAGAGGTATTTTATTAGTTGTTAACAGTTTAATAACAGGATTGAAAATAATTTTTAAATTTTTTAGGTTGATATGCCAGTGTTTTTTTTTATTGATCCTGAGTATACTACTGATCCAAAAATGGAAAACATTGATGACATAACATTGTCATACACATTCTTTGAAGCCAAACAAGGTGTAGATTTATCAAATATTTTCAAACACTGATACAGTTATGTTTCTAGTAGTAAACATTGTTAATGGAATTGTGTAAAGGCATTATTTTTACATATTTTAAAAAATGTGTAATAAATGTTTTATAAATAGTTTTGAAACTCAAGKATAATATGTTCTTGTTTTTTATCAATATTTACACATTCTTATTGCCAAGACAAAATAATTTTGGCAATGTTCTGCACAATTTCATCAATGCAAAAAAATACTCAATTCTAGCACCTCCAGGTCCAACGTATTGGCCAACTTCTTTACGCAAAAAACCTGACATTCTTGATATTTTCATTGCCAAAGTACCAAGCAATTTAGTCTGCACTCCGGAAAACATC